AAAAAAAAAAAAAAAAAAAAAACTAAATTTTTTAAAAAGTAAAAAAGTTTAAGAATATAAATGATTCTTTTTTAAAACTTCATTTTTTAAACTTCAAAATTTTCATCCAAAACTAGTAGTAAACTTTTTGTTTAATTTTTTTTAAAAAAAAGTTTAAGGGTATTATTGAAACGTTTGAAAGTTTATTTTTATTAACTTAGCCTAAAGGATATGTTGAAGGATATACTTTATTCAATGGCTCTAGAGAAGAAGTCAAACCTCGATTATGGAGAGACCGTTTCAGAGCTCTAGAAAAGGAAAGGAGAGCTCATGAGAGGGAACACGATCTTCATTGACATGAAGCCTTTTGCAAAAATCAAAAGAAAAGTGACGAGAGATTACTTGAAGTGGATAATATCAATTGTAGAGATCAGCGTTTCTAACATACTTCACCCGTCTTGGATGGTAGTACACCACAGCATTATCTTCTCTGAGCCTGCAACTGCATATTCATCTCTAATATGATCAGTTTAATGCTAAAGTCACAACTAAAAAATGGCTATTACAGGCATTTCATGTTTACCTGTTAGATATCAAGGCCGAGTTTATGACTTCTTCCACTCTTGTAGCTGAGGCTAGACCCCTTCACTAGCCTATTGGCCAGTACAATTCTGCTCTGACTGAGAATAATTCCCAAATCATGTGCTGCATTGGTAATCAATAACCATAGCACATGACAAACCTGAAGAAGAATATTGATATAATCTGATATCACATGATAAACTTGGTTTATTTATATATAGTTAGGAATGCAACATCTGCTTAGTCCTCAAACAAAGTTTTTACACCACCAGGAGTTTCTTGAACAATTCAAATCAAACACAAACATGTAAAGGCATTGTTAATCATAACAGCACAATAAACGAACCAAATCATTTGTCCTCCCTTTTAAGCAACTGGTGGGCGGAGAACATGATCCTGAGACGTGTCGACGGTTGCAGGCGGCAAGAATTGCCACATGGCAATGCCGGGATAACCAATGAAAGGCATCAACTTGTTACCAGCAGCTTGCCCTTGTGCTGTAAAAGCAGCTGACAACGTAGGGGGAGGATGTTGGATATCAGCTGCTGCTCGAGCATTCACTGCTTTGATTTGCAGCTCCAATTTTTCTTTCTCTGCTCTCAATCTTTGCTTCTCATCACGAAGTTCATTTTTCTCAACCTACATGCATACTGAGCTTAGAGATCAAGGGATAAGTATGTTCCAGTTTGCCTGTGTCTCAGATGTAAGTAAACTATTCAACATTGCAGCTATTATAACTATTCAACATTCAAGGTGGAAACGAGCTTGGGGAGTTCCCATGGGTTACAAATCTCACCTTTAATTCTTTGATTTTTTCCTTCAAATCATCCTCTGATTCTTTCAGCTTCTCGATTTCACATTGTAAATCAGTCACCATTCTGATAGCATCACTCAAGATGACAACCTTGTCTGTTTTGGGTAGTTTTCCAGGTTCCAGGACAGCAGATAATTCCAAGAACCTTCAAATCATTATAGATGATGAATTAGTACAAAGAGATTGAAGGCTAGAGCCATAATTGATAATATGATACCTCTCATTCAGCTTATCTCTCCTCAGTTTCTCTCTGCAGGCTTTGGAGGTAGATGCAGAACTTGTTTCAGCCTTTAGACTACATAGTTTTTGAGAATACATGAAATGAAGCACTAGCAAATTTATGTTAACATATATAAGATCATAGAAAGTCACACTGCCCTATACTTATATCTACTACTGCTACAAAGCGCCTAACAAAATTTCACCGTTGGATGTTTGAGAGAGAAATACCTTAAACTTATATCTACTACAGAGCATGCATATTTTTGAATCCGATCCTAACGGTTATTGAAGTGAGCTTGAATAATTTTTTGCCATGATGAGAATATGACTTTTCTCAATATTCTCGTCTTCTTCTTCTGCATGATAGAGTTAGTTGAGAAATTTTTATGTTCTACAGCTACATAGTTCCAGATAAGGCTATGGCAATATCGCAACTATATCAACTGCTAATGGTGGCTTTTATGAAGAGACATGTCTTCCAGCTTGAATTCGAAGGGATTGGGAATGAGATAGCAATAATAAAGTCTGCTAGCACATTATCCTCTAGCTAAACTCCCAACAGTCAACGCTTTAATTTCTATTTGTGGGTAATCTAGCAATTTCTTTCTAGATATAGAGTCAGGAGCCCGTTGAAATAATGATACATTGCACCTTCTTGCACATAGTCAACAGAAATGTACTTCACCTCGTTTAGCTAATCCAAATATATTCTTAAATATTTGACAGATCTCTAGCAGTACCCAATAAAAACTTACCGTTTCCGACCTACTTCCTTTAAGCTGTCCAGATCTTCATATGAGCAGTCTACCTCAAGGCTGGAAAAAGTGAATATCTAATCAGTTGCAATGAAAATTTGAGGTAAAAACAAACTCAAGACTGTCAAAGAAAAGAAGTAATACATAAAATGAATAAATTGTCCGAAGGTTTATCCTTTTACTGGAGAGTAAAACTGTAAGACCTTCGCTAAGTATGAAATGAAGGAGTGAATTTAGGCTACTCTACAGACTTGAATCGTCGTTAGCTGGTAATTAATGAAAACAGGAACTCTAAAATAGTGCATCCACCGAATTGGCAATTTTTTAAGCTTGACCAGAAACAGCATGAATCACCCCATAGGCTCAGGAGCCAATCATTACCTTTGACTGAGCTCTCTCATTGACGTCATATCTCCAAAACCAGACTTGGAGACAATAACAAGATCCATAAAGAGACAAAATAAATTATTTCCCACAAAAGGAAAAGAAAAAAAAAGAGACCCAAAATAGTTAAGATCTAACGATTGTTCTTGTAGATGCTAATTTTCACCTGAAGTCAACTGAAAGAATATTACCCTACTGAGTAATTTATCTACCATCCAATTAAAAGTAGAATAAGAGAGACTTATAGATCCAACAAGTCCACTTAATAATATTCAAGTGGGGTTATGGGAACTGGAATTCTTTGTATCTGCATCGGGAAATAGAATTAATTGATTATCAGCTTGGTCGCTAAAGATTCTCCAGTTAATCACATGCTATAGCATAGTAGTGAAGACCAAAGCAAAGTCTACAGCTAATAAATTTTGTTTCCATTACCAGCGTCCCAACACCCAACAGGACACTGCACACAATTCGGAAAGGCACAACAACAACAACAACAGCAAAAACAAACTGATTTGTTCTGTCCCTAAAAGCATTTCAGCAAACAGTCAAGAGAAAGTAAAACAGGGGAAAACCATATATATAAGCAGATTTTCTGTCTGGGTTTTGTACGAACATAATAACCAGAAACAGGGTAATAGGAATAAAGGGTCCACAAATTTACCCGTAATGGAACCAAGTAACAAAATCTCTCAAATTTTGAAGAAACCAAATTAGCACCTGTGTTTATTAGAAGGAAAGTTGATGGAGGGATTGGACCAGGAGAAACTGACGGACTGCGGCGGCGAGAAGTGGGCGCCGACGACGGGGAGATCCTCCATTGTAGAGTAATCGAAGAGCCAATTCCAGTTTCCTGCAGAGTCGTCCATTGGTGGTTTGAAGAAGTTGAGAAAGCTGCATGAACTAAGGAAGCGTTGCCACAGTGGATGGTGTGTGTGTCTGGTGGGTGGAAAATAGGAATAGGAGGGAAAATGTGTGGGATCAAGAAGGTGTAGGCTCTTCCGGTGGTTGAAGTACTTGTGAAGGAGAAGTAATAATTAATCAAAAGAGAATATGAATATGAAAATGAGAGAAAAAAAGGATCATTTCTTTGGGAATCGAATTTCAGTTAGAACAAGGAGGAAATGGTCGTACGATGATGTAATGAAAATGAAAGAGCCAACCACCCGGGACCTTTCAACCTGTCTCTTTCATCACATTATCCAATTTAAACACTTCCATTTTTTTTTTAAGCCTTAATTTCACTGGGCTTTTCTGAAGGCCCAGAATAACGACGTTGCTTCGGCCCAACAAAATTTGGCCCATTATTCCTATGGAAAAAATGTTTAAATAAATGCTTAACAAAATAATTTAGCAAATAATACTCATGTTAATTATTTCTATTAACAAAAAAAAAAAAAAAAGTGTTCCGCTCTGTAAATTTAGAGAGTTTGGGGGTGAAAAGGGATAAGATTTGAAAATAGAAGGGCACAAAAGAAATTTGAAAGAAATATGAACAATCGTGGGTGTTCCACATTGTTCTCGGCACGTCTGCTTAACGTATCAGATTTTTACTATCTTCCGGGTATGAAGGAAAGATACCTTCGAAATATCGGGGAGGAAAAGAAAGGGTCTGAGTTTTGATTTCAAAGGAATCCAGAAAAGAAGAAGAAAAAAGAGAGGGAAATAGAAAATATCAAGGGGAAATTCTGCTGATGAAGAACAAAAATAGGATTCGCAGGCCAAGAATTCGACCTCCAAAACGTCATGATTTTGTAAATATGACGAAGAGTTTGCGCATGAGATTAGTGTAATATGATGGATGTTTCATTTTGAGACGGTAATTCTCTAATTAATTGGTCGTCGGGAAAGTTTTCGAAAGGAAGTGGTTCATTTAGAGAGGGATTCGAGAGGGGAAATCCCTCAAGTGTTCGATGAAATGAGAAGCGAAGAATACGGATGGGATAGCGATTCAGAGAGAAATGGAATTGAGAAGAGGCGGTTATGTGGGTGGTTTAGTGATTCTCCTCTGTGCATTGGCAATTGTGAGCTCAGAGGGCAGGAGGAAGACGTTAGAAATGGTTATCGCCAATGCCGGCGATTGCCATTTCACATCCTCAGAGTTGGAAGGAGCTATGGTAATTTCATGCTTTTGTATATAATTTTGAACTTCTTCCTTTCAATTCAAACTAGAACCATGATTAGGGATGAGTGATTCGTACCTTTTTGTTTCTGTTTTTGCTTCCTTTTCTGTTCATGGAGGATGATTTGATCGTTTGAATGAATGCATGTCAGCAGCTGTTCATCATCTGCAAAATAGAACAATATTCTGATATAATGTTAGCGTGATAACAGGGCAAGAAGGCATGCACGAAACAATTTGTTCCTTGCATCCAGAAAGAAACCATGGATAAATCTATAGCAATTCTACCTCCTGAAATGAAACATGGCTTGTTGGATTGTTTAAGAAGGAGAAGTATGTTTTCTCGTGATTCTGAACTTAGTCCTCCTAGCTTATCTGATTGGGTTAGGAGATCAATTGAGTTCATTTTCGTAGAGTCCAATATTCACATGAGACAATTAATTAGATTGTTTCAAGGTTCATCACCACCGCACCCTACTGCAGCTCCAGCTCCATCTCCTGATGCAGAATCACCGGCTAATTCTCCATTACTGTCTCCCATTCATGCTCCAATGTTGTCGCCGAGTAATGCACCGACCAATTCTCCTCCTGTCATGGCCCCAGCGCCGTCGCCAGAACTGCTACCGCCAGTGGGCGACACTGATGTTTTGGATTCACCTCCATCTACTGTGGCTCGCTCACCATCTCTTCCACGAGCTTCTCCCAAGTCTCGCCCTCTAAAGAAGCATGAAGAAAGCCAGATGGGCATAATTGCTGGTATTGTAGCAGCTGGTGTGGGAGTTGTTCTTGCGGTTGCGCTGGTTTTGTTCTGCTGTCGTAGAGGTAAGGGAAGTAAGGTTGAGCCGAAGGATGGGCAAAAGAATGAGAAGCCTTTAAACAACATATCTTTGAGTGAATTACCAGCAGGTTCTTCACTGAAGGCATACAGCGATGGAAATCCAGCAATCAACGCTAATAATGGAACTAAACCACCACCCTTTTTTGTTGGCAACTTAGCAATGAATCCTGAAAACCATATCTATATTGCCGAGGGTCCAACATCTGATGGTAAATCATCAGCAATGCCGCCTCTAAAACCCCCTCCTGGAAGACCAGATGCTCAGCCTCCTCCTCCAACAGCACCTGCTGCGGCACCTCCACCCCCTCCGCCTGCACCCAGAGCTCCACCACCATCACCCCCGAAAGTTTCTCGGCCCCCACCTGCACCACCGGCGGGAATCCCTGGTAAACGTCAAGCACCACCTGTGGCGCCACATCAGGGTGGACCCAATGGCTCAAGTATGGATCCTGATTCAGTAGGCCATAAAACCAAGTTAAAGCCCTTTTTCTGGGATAAGGTTCTTGCCAACCCTGGACATTCCATGGTCTGGCACGAGATTAGTGATGGATCATTCCAGTAAGCCTACTTGAATTCTTAGTTCTGAATAGTAATTACTATGCAGCAGAGGGATTTGATGTATATTACAAAATTGACAGATTCAATGAGGAGATGATGGAGTCCTTGTTTGGATATGCAGCAGTGGAAGCTAACAAAGGCAACCGCAAGAAAGATTTAGCTTCGGAACCTTCAGTACAGTACATTCAAATCATCGACCCTAGGAAAGCTCAAAACCTTTCAATTCTCCTACGGGCACTGAATGTGACAACAGAAGAAGTTGTGGATGCCATTCAACAAGGCAATCTCTCTGTTCTTGTGTTTGTGTTGTGCTTGTGATTTGATAAGAGAATAAAATCTACAATTGGTTTAATTCATGAAACTAACAGAGGGTTTATAACAAATTATGTACCAGGAAATCCTGATCTTCCAGCAGAGCTTATGCAGACCTTGTTGAAGATGGCACCAACAGCAGAAGAGGAGCTGAAACTGAGATTATATTCAGGGGATCTTTCTCAGCTAGGTCCAGCCGAACGGTTCCTGAAGGTGTTGGTGAACGTTCCTTTTGCTTTTAAACGATTGGAGTGCCTTCTCTTCATGCTCTCATTGACGGAAGATGTCGCTAGCATTAAGGAGTCGTTTGCTACGCTGCAGGCAAGTATTTTCAAATCCAAAATCAAACACAATCACTTTATGAAACACAGCATGTAATTTACCCACTAGTTGATAAATGTTAGGTCGCCTGCAAAAATCTTAGAAACAGCAGGCTATTTTTCAAGCTACTAGAAGCAGTTCTCAAAACTGGCAATCGTATGAATGTCGGGACGTACCGTGGCGGTGCTCAGGCGTTCAAGCTCGATACGCTCTTGAAACTGGCGGATGTTAAGGGAACCGACGGCAAAACTTCGCTCTTACATTTTGTCGTACAGGAGATTATTCGTTCGGAGGGCAGTCGAGCAGCCCGCTCTAATAGACATAGCCGGAGTTCGTCCAGTATAGTTTCCAACGATACGGTTTCCGAAGACGTCGTCGACGGTTCTGTGGAACATCATCGGCGATTAGGTCTTCAGGTCGTTTCTGGTTTGAGCACGGAGCTCCAGGACGTTAAAAGAGCGGCCGCCATAGATGCGGAAGGGCTAACGAAGACGATCTCCAAACTCGGCCAGTCTCTGCTTAGAACCAAAGGTTTTATAAACGCGGAGATGGAAAGTTTGGACGAAGACAGCAAATTCCACCAATCGGTGACGAAATTTGTGGAAGGAGCAGAAGCGGACATTTCGTGGATTGCAGAGGAAGAAAAGAGGATAATGGCACTGGTGAAGAGAACGGTGGATTACTTCCATGGAAATTCTGGAAAGGACGAAGGATTGCGATTGTTCACGATCGTACGCGATTTCCTGAATGTGTTAGACAAGACCTGTCAACAGGTCGAAGAAGAAGCTGCAGCTGCGGCAAAGCAAGCAAAGAATTCCAAAAAAGAAACTCCAACATCGTCGCAGCAGAATTCAGATCTACAGCAGCGGCTATTTCCAGCGATTGCAGAACGCCGGATGGGCGAGGACTCAAGTTCTTCGGACGACGACGATGGCAAGAGTTCATCATCATCAGCAGCAGACTAGATTTCACGACACTGAAAGTGTCTTAGTTATACGAATAGGAATTTTTTTTGCACGAAATAATATACTTTTTAGTTATCGGAAGAACCCAATTATTTTCTTTCGGATCCATGAAACTCTCTAGAAGATACATGAGCGAAGGAATCAACCTGTTGATATTAGAATAGCCAATCGATTCTTCCAATGTATAATTTTCTGGGTCCAAGGAGTGACTTTTTTCTTTCGATTATCTTGACTCTGTACTACATCTTTGATCATGAAATTCGGGAGTTTGGTGGGTCCTTTATATTTAAAGTTTTGAGAATAGGGGCAATGCTTAACAGAGAAGAAAAGAAATGATTACATTAGTTTTTGTCTGATATGCCTCACAAGAGGAGAAATGAGACATCAAATCCAAAAGCAACTTCCACTACTCAGCAGCAGTGGCAGTAACGTAATAAGCGACACAAAACAAGCCATGAACGAAGCACAAAATCCCTCCAATCGACAGGAAGTGATGGTGTGTGAAGCCACAGGATGCTCGGGATTTGTTGTTCCCCAATGCTCCGATCACCAACATCGACATCGCCACCGCTAGAATTATCCTGTTTTTTATAAAACCAGAACAAACCCAGTTCAGTGTCTTAGTTGTTAAATGAAATTTGATTTCAAGAAGCGTACAATACCAAGTGAAAACGAGGCAGGCGATGGAGATTTGCTTGTTTGGGGGTGATTTTTCGAGCGCTTCTTGCGAGCAAATGCAGTTACAGCCGCCGAGCAGGTTGGCGATTACGTGGGCTAATCCCAAAACCCCGGCTGCTGCTAATCCCAATCTGTAAGCTTGCGCGCTTGGGTCTCTGCACTCGAATATCCATAACCGGAGGTTCTTCACCTGCTCAACAATCATGGCAGCAATTATGTTCGTGAAGAGAGGGTAAGATCCTACTTACAAGGGTGTGGAGACCTCTTCCTAATAGACGGGTATTAAAATTTATAAGGAGAAGCCCGTGAGGAAAAGTACAAAAAGAGCTAGCGGAGGACTTGAATTGCAACAAATAGTATCAGAACTAGACATTGGGCGATGTGCCAGCAATGAGGCTGAGCCCCAAAGGGTTAGAATTAGACATCGGGCGATGTGGCAGCGAGGATGTTGAGCCCTGAAGGGAATGGATATGAGACGATGTGCCAGCGTGGAGGCTGAGTACCGAAGGGGGCAATGACACTTGGTCTCAAAGGGGGGTGAATTTGGTGGGGGTCCCACGTCGATTATGGAAAGGAACGAGTGCCCGCGAGGACGTTGGGCCTTGAAATGGGTGAATTGTGAAATCCCACATCGGTTGGAGAGGAAAACGAAACACCCTTGAAGGGAAGCTCGAGATGGAAAACCCAAAGAAGATAATATCGTTACAGACAGAAAGAAAAATATGAGGAGTAGTAGTACCTTGTTTTGTGCAATATCAGCTTCGATGCCAAGTAGGCCGGCCACGATGTCCATGGCCACCACCAACAAACATACCAACACGCCAACCAACTTCATATCCTTCTCTTCTTTGTATTAGACAGCACAGGGGAAATGAAGTATTTATGGGCTTCAAAAAGCATGCATTTTTTGAGCTAAAAAATGCTTCTTTACCCACACACTACAAAGCTTTTAAGTTTGGTGGTGTTTTCATAATGGATTCCTTTCATGGGGGAGCAAGGAAAGTAGGGCATCAGCCAGCTCCTGCTGATGGACGAGAGGCCCAGTTACTTCTCTTGGCCCAACTTTGTGACATGATGCTTCAACCCTTTACATTCTTATGTCTTGCTTAAGGCATAGGGTAATAGCCACTGGGGAATGCCTTGGGATACCAAATTTGAAAACTGTAGCATGTTTGTGCTAGAAGGTATGTTGCACGTGAGAGAGGCTTTGCACTTTAGTGGCACGATCGGTTATCGGGGCAAACCAACCTTCCTCCAAAAAGAATTGTGTTATGCCTCCCAATTCCTATAGATGGAAAGAGCTGCCTAGTGATCCCTAGGTTGTAGCACGTTTGCCCCCCCGATTCATATAGATAGAAAGAGTTGTCAAGGCCCTCGATCCATATAGATGGAAAGAGCTGCCCAATGATCCCTAAGTTGCAACACGTCTAGCCCCCCAATTTTTATAGATAGAAAGAGCTATAGGGGGCCCCGACCCCTATAGATGGAAAGAGCTACCTAGTGATCCCTAGGTTGTAGCACGTTTGGTCGTTAACTTCTTGTACCTGATGCAAGAGTTACCTGGTGATCCCTAGGTTCCAGCATGTCTAACCCTCCCCCCAATCCCTATAGATGGAAAGAGCTGCCTAGTGATCCATAGGTTGCAGCACGTCTAGCCCCCCAATCCCTATAGATAGTAAGAGTTGTCGGGGCCCTCGATCCCTATAGATGGAAAGAGCTACCTGGTGATCCCTAGGTTGTAGCACGTCTAGCCCCCCAATTCCCATGATAGAAAGAGCTGTCAAGGCCCTCGATCCCTATAGATGGAAAGAGATACCAGATGATCTCTAGATTATAACACATCTGGTCGTTAACTCTTCATGCTACTGTCGCTGTTTCTAGAATCAACACACGCCTCACCTGCACAAGTACTTACGTAATGTGGTGCCGATGGCACATTTTAAAAAAACTTCAGAAACATCTTAAATGTTTATTGAAACTTTTAAAAGCTTAAGATTAATTTTTTCGACCAAGTAAAAAATTTATGAGTATTTTTATTAATTTAATTTATTATTATTATTATTATTATTATCATAATATAATTTTATAGAAATAACTTATAGAAATATGAAAAATATTAACTATGTTGTAAATATATAAATTATTATTACTTTGAAATTTGTCCAAAATACTTTTAAAAAAAATAAAAATAAAAATGGATGGCAAAACTGAAAATAAACGAGGTGGGCTGGGAATAAAAGGAAGACTCGAAACCACGTGGGTGTGGCCTTTGTGTTTACTACTCCTACACCCAACCGCCATGCATTATTCCCAATTTCCCTGTCTTTGTCGCTCTTTCATGTGCCATTACCTCCTTTTTTATTATGTCTAATGCTTCCTTTATAATACAACCATTGTATTTAGATAGTCATTACAAATCGTGTCGTATAAACTCTTTTATTCGTGAGTTCTCGGCCGAGACATGTCGGTACCTACCCACCGGGGTCCAAAAAAAGGGCTATACTTTTACGAGAGGGACACAAACAGCCTTGAATCATGAAGGTTCAAAAGTAAAGACCATAAATGTGAAGAACAGAGGGGGAGGATCCCATCCTGTGATTTGGGATTATTACGTCCATACAAGGGCAATCGAGTCATTATGGGTGCGACTTTGGACTTGGGGAGTTGGGGTGTAGGGTACCGTGCCCTACAAAATCAATACTTGTTTATTTTTCTTTTGGGGTTTGCGAGTTTATTATAAACTATTCTTTTTTTTTGGGCAGGAATGTCAGTGGTGTTGCTCTCTCTGCGTGTCTCTATGGTTGTTTGTTGTAGTGCTGCTTGTTTCTTTCAGCCGCGTTGAGAATCTTTATGATTTTGGGATCATTTTGTTGTGAATTTGTTGATTTCTGAACAACCCCATTTGCCTAAACACCCTGAATCGCACTCTGTTCTTCATCTTCTTCACTAACCCTTTCTCTTTTTCTGGGCGATGGAAGTCTGCTGCAATCTTGAAGTGGATATCAATGGCGAAGAGATTTTCATGGTGGATAAGGTAATTCTCTGCTCTTTCTTTACCATTCCTTCATTTTAGCAAACCCCTTATGGTTCTTTCTCTTCGTTTGTGAATATTTGATCGGATTCTCCTTTGGTGTTCATCTTCTTCTTCTTAATTTTGTGTTGATTTATTCTGTTCTTATTTTGGGCTGCTTCTGCAGAACACTGTAGCTTCATATTCTGGAAGATTAAGCAAGTTATTTGGTAGATCAAAGGCTAATTTACGAAATTTGAAGTTGATATTCCAGGATTTTCCTGGTGGGGCAGAGGGTTTTGAGTTGATATTGAAGTTTTGTTATAACAATGGGTATGTCCAAATGAGTCCTTCGAATGTTCCTGTTTTGTATTCTGCAGCACAGTTCATGGAGATGAACTGTTCAATCTCAGGCACCCAAAATTTACAGGAACAGACAGAGAGATATCTTGATGATATCAACGAGTGGACTTGGTCTGAGCTTTTGAATGCTTTGAAACGATGCCAAGATCTGTCTCTTAGCCGCCCTTCAATTGTTCTTCACAAATGCTTAGACTCTCTTGTTGGAAGGCTGCATTTAGCTTTGGAAGAACATTGTTGTCCATCGACCTCCTCGTCCGATGGCTCGGCGTTACGGTTTTCGTGCGATACGAAAAGCACTGAAAGCTTGAAGACAGTGTTCTCTAATGGAGTGTGGTGGTTTGAGGAATTGTTACTCTTAAATCCTGACTTTGTTAAAATGATTGTGCCATTGATGCTCAAACGAGATTTTGATGAAGTAGTCATTGCTAGGTTCCTGGTTTATTACCAGAAATCGAAAATCTCGAACGCGTCGAGAGACGAAAAGCAAAAGATTATTGAGGTTGTCGTCGAAATGCTTTATACTCTCAACCACAATTCTGTTTCCTGCAAGAGTCTTTTCAGCATTCTTCGAGTTGCTTTGGGATTGAACATAAACAAATGTATTCGAAACAAGTTGGAGAAGATGATCGGTGCGCAGTTGGATCGAGGAACGTTAGATAATTTACTACTTCCATCTCGATCTGGGTCGAGCTATTTATATGATGTGAATCTCGTTCTAAGATTTGTCAAAGCATTTTTGCACGAACAAAAGAGTAGAACATCTCAAATGACATTAACAAGAGTAGCTACATTAATGGATTTGTACATGGCTGAAGTAGCTCCTGATCCTTGTTTAAAGCCTTCAAAGTTTCTAGCCCTTGCCAAAGCCTTGCCCGAATATGCTCGACGCTCCCACGACGATATGTACCAAGCCATGGATATGTACTTAGAGGTAATGATTTGAACCCATATAGCTCTTTTCTGGTGTTATACTTAATTATGGACTGAGTCATGTTGGTTTACAGGTTCATACAGAAATGTCAGAAGAAGAAAAGATTAAGATG